CTCCCACCCACCTGGGAACCACAGAGGCCTCTGTTTGGGGACTGGACGCTCCTCCTGGCCTGCTGCTGCCTCTTGTGGAACTGTGACATTTTAACTATTTTATCTAAACCATAACCATTGATAATAAAACAAACCTCAGAAGATTTAAAATAAAAAAGAAATATCTCCTTGTATCTCATCAGATCATCGTGGCTTAAAGTTAGAATTCAACAACAACATTAATTGCAGAAAATCCACAATCTCATGGAAATTGAACAACACTCAACTGAACCACCACTGGGTCAAGGGAGAAATAAAGAAAGAAATTGAAGACTTCCAAAAATTTAACAAAAATGAAAGCACAGCATAGCTAAACACAATGAAAGCAGTGCTAAGAGGAAAGTTAATAGCACTAAGTGACTACATAAAGAATTTGGAGAAATCACACACTAATGAATTAACAGTATAACTGAAAGTCTTAGAACAAAAAGAAGCAAACTCATTCAGGAAGAGTAGATGCCTGGAAATAATAAAATTTACGGCTGAAATAAATAAAACACAAACAAAGAAAATAATACAAAAATCAATGAGACAGAGAGTAGAGTTGATTCATCAAGAAAACCAACAAGATAGACAAATCTTTACCCAAACTAACCAAAAGGCTAGAGAGCATATGCAAATTAACAAAGTCATAAATGAAAATGGGAACACTGTTATGGTTTAAATAAAATGCCGCAGGTCCCTGAATGTCCGCCATGAGAAGTGGGCCACAAGACCACACTACAGGTCCCTGAGTGGCAGCAGTGGGCAGCTGGCCAGGAGGAGCTGCATTGGTAAAACACTGCCATTTCCCAAGTGGCCAATGGGTCATGAGGGCCACCCAGGCAGGGTGTGGGTGAAAGACAGAGACACACCACGCAGAGAGAATGGTTATTTATTTAGCAGGTTATGGATGGGAAAGAGAAAGGGGGAAGGGGAGAAAGAAGAACAAAGAGAGGGAGGGAGAAAGAGAGAGAGAGAGAAAGGAGGGATAAGGGGAGAAGTAGGCAGAAGGGAGAGAGGCAGAAGGTTCCTCTTTGGGAGAGAGATGGAAAAGAAGGAATTCAGGCTGGAAGAGTCTCGGGGGACTGGGAAGGGGGACTGGGAAGGTGGGACTTGTTTCTTAAAGGGACAGGACAGACCATTACAGACATCACAACAAACACTGAAAAATCCAGAGAATTTTCAGGTTATACTTCAAAAACCTGTACTTCACATACCAAAATTAAATCAAGACCAGATAAACAATTAAATAGACCTATTACCCCTAAGGAAATAGAAACAGTCATCAAAAGCCTCCCAACCAAAAAAAGTCCAGGACCAAATGGTTTCAGTGCAGAATTCTATCAGAATTTCAAAGAAGAGCTAATGCCTATACTCCTTAAATTGTTCCACACAATATAAACAAAAGGAACAATACCAAACTCTTTTTTTAACAAGGTTGCAGTTACCCTGATGCCCAAACCACACAAGGACACAACCAAGAAAGAGAATTACAAACCAATCCCCCTCATGAACATTGATGCAAAAATATTCAATAAAATACTAACAAACTGAATCCAAGAACATATCAGAAATATCATCCACCATGATCAAATAGGCTTCATCCCAGAGATGAAGATGGGATGGTTCAACATACAAAAATCCACCAACGTAATCCACCATATCAATTAACTGAAAGAAGGAAACCACATGATGATCTCATTAGATGCTGAAAAAGCCTTTGACAAAATCCAACACACCTCCAGGATAAAGGTCCTGGAACATTCTTAAACATAATAAAGGCAATATACAGCAAATCCATAAATAATACAAACTAAATGGGGAGAAATTCAAAGTGATCCCATATAATCAGGAACAAGACAAGGCTCCCCATATCTATTCAATATAGTACTTAAAGTCCTAGCTACAGCAATAAGAGAGCAAAAGGAGATTAAGGGTATACAAATTGGAAGGGAAGAAGTCAAACTTTTGCTATTTGCAGATGTGATGATATTGTACATGTGACCCCAAAAATTCTCCCAGGGAACTTCTATATCTTATAAACACCTTCAATAATGTGGTGTGACACAAGATTAAGTCAAATAAATCAGTAGTCCTCCTATATACAGATAATAAACCGAGAATGAAATCTGAGCAACTTCTCCCTTTATGATAGACAAAAGCAACATAAAATATCTTGGAGTAACTATAATCAAACAAATGAAAGGCCTGTGTGCCAAGAACTTTAAGTCTTTGAAGAAAGAAATTGAAGAGGACATCAGAGAACAGAAAGATTTCTCATGGTCTTAGATAGGTAGGTTTAACATAGTAAAAATGGCAATTTTACCAAAAGTAATGTACAGATTCAATGCAATCCATATCAAAACCCCAACATAATTCCTCACAGACATTGAAAGGACAATACTCAACCTCATATGTAAAAACAAAAAACTCAGGAGAGCCAAAACAACCCTATACAATAAAGGGATTTCTAGAGGCATCAACATCCCTGACTTCAAACTCTATTATGAGCTATAATAATGAAAACAACTTGGTACTGGATTAAAAACAGACAGGTAGACTAATGGAATCAAACTGAAGACCCTGATATTAATCTACATACCTATGAATACCTGATTTTTGACAGAGAAGCTGAAAATATAAAGTGGAAAAAAGAAAACTACAACAAATGGTGCTGGTATAACTGGAAGTCAACCTGTAGAGGGATGAAAGTAATTCCATATAAACCACCATGCACAAAACTCAAGTCCAAAAAGATCAAAGACCTCAACATAAATCCACCTACAATGAACCCCATTGAGCAGGATGTGGGAAGTAGCCTTGAATGCATCAGTACAGGGGAATACATTCTAAATATAACACCAGTAGCACAGATGCTGAGAACAGCAATTAATACATGGGATCTACTGAAACTGAGAAGCTTCTGTAAGACAAGACACAGTCAACAAGACATAATGGCAGCCCTCAGAATGAGAAAAAAATCTTCACCAACCTCGCATCAGAGGACTAATCTCCAAAATATACAAAAGAACTCAAGAAACTAACGACCAAAATACCAAAGAATCCAATTAAAAAATGGGGTACTTATATAAACAGAATTCTCAACAGAAGAAACTCACTCAAATAGCTGAAGGATATTAAAGGAATTGTTCATCATCCTTAGCCATCAGGAAAATGCAAATCGAAACAACTTTGAAATACTATCTTACACCTGTTAGAATGACTAAGATCAAAAACACTGAATGAGAGTTTATGGTAGAGAAGATGTGGAGAAAGGGGAGTGCTAGTGGGAGTACAAACGTCTACAACTGCTTTGGAAATCAGTATGGCAAGTTCTCAGAAAATTGGGAATCAATCTACCTCAAGACCCAACCATACCACTATCAGACATATACCCAAAGAAGGCACACTCATACCACAATGACATTTGCTCAACTGTATTCATAGAAGCATTATATGTAATAGCTTGTGCCTGGAAACAACATAGATGTCATCAACTGAAGAACGGATAAAAAAATGTGGTACGTATACACAGTGGAGTACTACTCAGCAATTAAAAAACATCTTGAAATTTGAAGGCAAATATCATTCTGACTGAGGTAACCCAGATCCAGAAAGAGATATACGTTATGTATTCACTCATAAGTGAATATTAGGCATAAAGCAAACAATCCCAGAGAAAGTAGGTAACATACATAGATCTGCCTAAAAAGGTGAAATATACATGAGCTCTTAAAACTTCCATCGATTAACTGATGGAAACAGATGCCGAAAGGCAAATGCAGAATGGTTAGTTGAGGAACTCACCACTGGACAGAGCTCACGGAATCCTATTGAAGAGAGGGAGGAGCGATAACATGAGCAAAGGTATCCAGGTGGTGATGGGGAAACCCATAGAAAACGTTGACCCGTACTAGTTGGAGCTCACTGACTCAAAACTTACAACCAGGAAACCTGCATTTTCCTGAGAAAAACACAAATGGCCACAGCTGCCACCTCGCCTTACATCAACGCTGGACCATGGTTGCCATTTTTCAGCAATAGAGTGGTAAAGTTGTCCTCTTTTATGGCTTTCTTCTACAAAGGGATGAACATTTCTTTAATCACAATAAAATAAGGTGGGGAAGGTAAATTATGTTTTCACTCGGATTTTGAGAACTCAGGATCTCGTATACACCTAATGTCAAGTTGGGAGCATAGGCCCCAGCCCCTCCCATCTATCCCAGCCCCTAGGCCTGGTCTGGACTTCAAATCCCAGCAGGCCAGGTCCTGACCCCTCCCTGGTCAGGACCACTCCCCAGGGTACTTAAGTGATCCCCCAAAAGAGGAACTTGTGGTCTCCCTTTCTTCCTCCTGGGGGTCTTGTTCCTGCAGCTTCCAGGTTCCCCCTCGGGGTCACCCAAGAGGGCAGATTTCCCCTTAAACCTGGATATTTCTTAATTTGGCTTGTTTAGATTTGCGTGGGCAGGGAGCAGGGAGCTCGTGTTAGAAATATTCCTAGGTTACTCGGAACAAACACCAGGGAGTAGCAAAGGAAGGGGCAGAGAGATAGTGGGCATCCTACTCAGGACTCCTAGGAGAGACCCTGTTAGGCACTCCATTAGATACGGCGGGCTAGGGAGAGTCGGACCTAAGGGGACATCCTTAGAGTTTTGGAGCAGTGGTTGAAAGAAGTCTTTTGTGTGGCACAGAACTTTAAGCTAGGTGGCTCACTTTAGAGGCCTCGAACTTTTCCCGCCCTTGGGTCGCAGAAAAACCCGGATGGAACATCCCGGACATTCCCATTGCCTTTGAATTGCAGCATGGGGCGGAGCTTCCTATCGTCTCATATTCTTATTGGTTAGTAGTCACAGTTTCTTCGTTTCTATTGGACAATCGTAGTGCTGATCACAAAACGTCACTGGCCTCTCGGCCTGTTGCTGGACTTAGTGGGTGTCGACTTCTAAATCAACCCACGTCAGTCTCTCTCTGGGGTCGAGCCTCGCTGTTCGGGTTTGCTTCCTGGTGTCTGGGTCTCGGAACCTTGAGGAGATTTTTCAAGCGGCTTGAGGGGTACCCCGAGGTCTCCGCGCCCGGCGCCATGTCCTGGCCGTCCACGAGGTGAAGGGCTGAGGGGGTGGGGCGGGAGGCCGGCGGCTCTGCGCTCCCCTCCCGGGCCGTAGGTGCAGCTCCTGTTCCTTCTGCGGGTCGCTTGCGGCTCGCGGCCAACTCGGGAATTTGCTGCCAGCACTTCGGGAAATCTTCACCGATTGTGGGGAATCCGAAGCTCCACCCAGTTGGCTACCCTCTGTGCTCTAGGCTTTGTTAGGAATTTCTGTTTTAACGTCTCCGAGACAGCCCGACTCTGGTGTCTCACAGTAATGTGCACAGACGTGCTAACATACAGAGGAACTGAAAGGAAAACTCGCAAAGGATAGCTCCGTGTGCTTTTAGAAGAATGACAACGTCTAGGAGGCTTCCAGCAAACTTTTAATCATCTTTAATGGTTTTCATGCCCATTCCTGCAATAATTATCCTTAAGATCGAAGTTACCTTTAAAATAACAAGCTGGTGCATAGGTTAGCTTTCTGTGATACCTGAGTTAAAATGTATTCTGTTCTGAAGGAGTAAAAGCAGTGTTATGTTGAAAATATTTTCATAGTCGAACCACCCTTCCACAGGAGGCGGGAGGCAGAGGCAGGCAGATATCTGATTTCAAGACCTGCCTGCCTGCCTGTTCTACAGAGTGAGTTTCTAGGTAAGCCAGGACTACACAGAGAAACCCTGTCTCGAAAAACCAAAGCGAACAAACAAAAAAACAAAGCATGTAACAAAATTAATTTTTATAAATGTTTTCTTCATTAGTTGGCATTGAAAACTTTGACATGCAACTCTAGCTTCAGGTATCACATACATTTTAATGTAATATAGTTTTCACCAGAAAAGAATTTCCAATATTTAACAGGTCAGATTATCCTGGTAGCTTTCCTCACTCAGTTCTTTTTAGGCAAGGTAATTTTTAAGTTATATTTGCCACATAACAAATAAAATGGAAGGAAATGATTGGCCTGAAATACTATTTGATTCTGTTCTTTGAAAAATACTTGCTTAAATCTGTGGTTTTGATGTCTGTTTTTTTAATTTTTTATTTTTATAGGGATCCTGATTGGAAGTATTTGCAGTCTGCCCAGTATGGAACCCATGGAAATTTTCCAAGACTTTCATACCCAACTTTCTTTCCACGTTTTGAATCCCAAGACATTATCCCTCCAGATGACTTCCTAAATAGTGATGAAGAGCTAGATTGTGTTTTATTTGGAATTTTGAGAGGTCAAGTTGTTGGACTACGCTATTACACAGGAGTAGTGAGTATGAAGAGATACTAAATAAAATTGTGGTATACTTAATGGTTTTAACAGTAAATTATATTAAATGGTGATATATACAATTAATGTTTTACTTTAAGTGACTGAAATATGTCTCTCAAAGGCTAGTCAGAAATACCTTTACCATCTTTGACTAATTTTTTACATTTTTGCCATGCTTACAGTATATACAGCACTTTTGCCCACACTGTTATTGATCCTTATAATTTCCGAGGTACTCTTCCTTAATGGAAGATAGAGATGGCTAAAGAAGATCTAGATGGTTAAATGGTTTGCCCTAAGTGTGGAAAATATATGTTGAATTTAGAAAGTGACTTTGAATCCATCAGTTATTACTAAATAAGTTAATTGTTTATTTTTGGATTCCTCCCTTTATTTTTGTAATATGAATAGCTCTTGTTCTTTTTTTCCTATGTTTCTCTATTCTCCAAATTGAATGTGTGTGTGTGTGTGTGTGTGCGCGCGCGCATGTGCAAACGCCCACGTGTGTAAGAGAAAGAAAAAGGGACAGATTGAGAATATATATATATAATTTTTTTCTGGACAGTAATCTTCATTATGGTCATCTTTGTTATTTGGATAATATTTCTAATATCTAATTTTTTACAAGAAAATTTCAAGCATAAAATCAAAATAAGATTCAGAGATTAGCAAGTATTTTCTGTATTTGCTTTATTTTTTCCTTTGGTCTTTTGTAAAAAATAGTAAATGTATCATTTTATATTAGTATAGTTCAGTATATATTTCTTTACAATGCAGTTTGGGGGCTGAAGAAATGACTCAGCAGTTAAGAGCTCTTGGCTGCTCTTAGAGAGGACTAGAGTTCTTTTCTCAGCACTCATGGCTGGCAATTCACAACTCCCTTTAACTACAGTTTCAGAGGTCTGTGCCTTCTTCTGGCACACATGGGTACTCATATATAAGCCCCCACAACATACACACATATCTAAAAATGCAACACATATTTAAAAAAATTAGTTTTTACATTTCATTTTCATTAAAAGAATTAACAATTATATGTAATAAGTTATCAATAGTTGGATTCTGTTGAAAATGTCCTTATTTTTATCAGGATTAAAACAGGGTTGATATATTCTCTCTGGCTGTTATGGACTATAAGGCTGTTACAGATTTGTGTGTCAAAAACAAGGTTTGTTTTGCGGAATCTTGTTGGTTTTGTTACTTTTCCTTTGCCCTTGTATATTTACGTTAAAACTTGCTAAACGATTTTTTGCAGTTGTTGTTGGGGGAGTGAGTTTGAGACAGGCTTTAACTTTATAGCCTATCCTGGCCTGGAACTCACTAAGTATTCAGGTTGACCTTGAACTCACAGTAAACTCATAAAGGTCCACTTGTCTCAGCCTTCTGAGTACTTGATGGTTTCAGAACATTTTTTTCAGTATGTATAAACTGAATTAATGAGGGGATACTTTGAGGGAATTCTGTGTTTCCCTTTTGTCTTGCTTTTCATTCTCTGTATTTTTTATGTTGGAACATCTCATGTTGTTTAGTAGTTGTAGGAGATGTGCTGTCCAGGAGATTACTTAGGGAAGAGCGATTATTTCTTGAGTTTTTATAAATTCATAATTTTCATTTTCTACTTAAGTGTTTGACTAAACATAAAGTGCTTGTTTCGTGTTTCTTCTCTGTATCCTAATGCTGCACACACATGGTTAGTGAAGATTTTGATATCGGTAGGATTTCTTTTCCCACTTAGCTAAATTATAATTTTTTTTGCCTGATGATTAAAAAATATTATTATTATCTTAAAAGTCTAATAGTTTCATTAAGATATTTGTTCTATAAATTTGTTTCCTACTATTTCAGAACAATTCTGTGATTATAATTTTAAATGCTTGCTTTATTCCAAAGCTATTTCTTCTTTAGAAACTCCATCTTCTCTCATTTACGTCCTCTCTCTGACTTGCTCTGTTTGCTGTTACCTCTATACTCTCTATATCTGCTGCTGACTCTGAATATTTTTACTATAATTTTTCATTTTTCTATTTTCCCCTATCTTTTATTTTTCTTACCATGTTTTCCCAAATACTTTGTTTATATTTGTGTTATTTTACTCCAGTCTTGGCCCTTGAAATATTTTCTTTCCTCTTGTCCTGTTAGCAATCTATGCTTTCTTCTCTGGGATCTTACTGCTCTCTGGCTCTCACATCCCTTCATGAGTTGTTATATTTCAGGTTTGCACTATTTCAAAATTTATATTGTTTTTCTAAAGTTTAATTTTGTGAAGGATTAGTTATAGGTATTAATCTCATAACAGTTACTTATTTTTATCTTAGAATAATCTCTGTAACACTAGTTAACTAATAAGAATATATGCTGATTAAATATTTAGCTCATTTTCCCACAGTATTGTATTTAGGTAATGCATTCATTATTTTAAAATAGATAAAATGCATTGAATTTTCATACCATAACTTACCTTATACGTTCTATACTTTTTTCTATAAATGTGCATATATGAATTGAAATCATACATTAACAAAAATAAATCCAAACAGAAAGTGGTTAGTTACTCCCATTACAGTTATGCCGCTGTTGTACCTAAGGGTATTTCTTGCCACTCAGTAATTATTCCAATTTGAATAGTTCACAGCTGGCTAAGACTGTTGATAACCCCAGGACCACTACCACCCCCAGAAGCCTCCATAGCGCCTTCCTGACCTATGAAAGCTACTCAACAGGGAATAAGTCAGGACCAACGTCATTTCTCCAGATCCTGTGGCCAGTGTGTGTGGTGTCTTCACACTGTCTTACCATAAAATTCTGGAGGGCAGCCAAGAACCAAAACAATATCATGTATTATTTTGGGAGTTTCTTGAAGTCCAGAATCCTATATCTGACACTGAACTTTAAATTTGTCAACCTAGGGTTTCAGGTATGAGCATAGTTCCCTGTGTAGAGTAACTCTAATTAAACTCTTTTACATAGAAAAACATCTCACACACATAGTATGTAGAAATATATGTATGTGTGTGTGTGTATAATTTCTGTGTTATTTTTGTTTTCATGCGTCCGTCATGTTAATTATGTCTCGCCTAGCCCACCCTGTGCTCTACCCTCTCTCATCCCTCTCCCTAATTAATCTTCCTATTATTCCTCTTTTCCTCTTCATATCACCTGACTTCTTTCTCCCACTATTAAGCACCCCTTATTGTCCCTTTCCGGTTGCCTGGATTGTGCAGACAATAAGATCCATATATGATTTAGAACATGATTTGTGTCTCTGGGTCTGGGTTACTTTACCCAATATAATGTTTTTCATATCCATCTCTTGACTTGCAAATCTCATTTTTCTTTATAACTAAATAAAATCCCATTTTATGCAGGTACCACATTTTCACTCTTTATCACTTGATGGACATATAGGTTATTTCCATGTCCTAGCTGTAATGAATAGAGTAAATAGGAACATGTATGTGTGCATGTGTCTCTGACTCAATCATTTAGGGGCACATATATCCAAAGTTTAGCTATTTGGAAAATGTAGGTATTGTTCTCTTCTTCAAGGTAGACTTACTGTACCTTTCATATCTTATAACTTATTTTTTAATAAGTTTTAGCTTCTTTTTTTCTTTCTTTTCTTTCTTTTTTTTTTTTAGACAGGGTTTCGCGGTAGCTTTGGAGCCTGTTCTGGAACTAGCTCTTGTAGACCAGGTTGGCCTTGTGGCCTTGAACTCTGCCTCCCGAGTGCTATGGTTAAAAGCATGTGCCACCACCCCAGCTAAAACTTACTAGCTTCTTAATGAATATAAATTAGAAAACTAGAGTAGAAGAATCATTTTAAAATATATACTTTAATATTTCTGGTTTGAGCTGTGCCTCTAGCTCATTGACAGATTGCTTTGTAGTCTTTACCAAGCCTTGGGTTCAATCCCCAACATAATATAAACTGGGGGTGGTAGAACACATTGTAATCTCAGCACTCAGGAGACAGAGGCAGAATGATCAAAGTTCAGTACTGTCTTCAGTTCAAGATCGTCTCTGGCTACATAGCAGATTTGAGGCCAGTTTGAGACTCTGTCTCAAGCCAGCAAACAAAATACAGAGAAAAACTAACAATAATTTATATGAATGAGTATTCTTGAAACAATACAGGGAAATCAAACTATTACTGTTCATATTTACATTATTATTATCTTCTTATTTTTACTAGGTAAATAATAATGAGATGGTTTCTTTACAACGAGAGCCTGATAATCCCTACGATCAGAATGCAATTAAAGTGAACAATGTGAATGGAGATCAGGTCGGCCATTTAAAGCGGAATCTTGCAGCTGCCTTGGCCTTTCTCATGGACAACAAATTGGTACAAGTGGAAGGGTATGTGCTTTTAGAGTTTGTTTTAGTAATTGTGATTTTTAGTTCTCTTTGAATATATACACATTTCCTGGGCATCTGGAAGTGTCGTGGCACCACACTTTGGTGTACTTTCAGACATGTTCAATTTTCTTCTTTGACTTTCCTATCTAGCTATCAAACAGTTGTACACTTATTTTCTTATTATTACCATGGAGAAAAACAAACTTGAAATCAAACTTGCAGTTGTACTTAGCTTCCCGCCTCATACTCCTCCAGATTCTGCATGACAGGTATGCCTTACCAGAGGAACTTCTGATGGTGGGGTGTTTTTCCTGTTGTTCGAAACGGGGTTTTGCTGCTAGAACCTGGCCTTGTACTCCCAACCCTGCCTTAGCCTCCAGTGTACTAGAATTAGAAATGGGCACCATCATGCTTAGCTCACTTGCACATTTTAGAGTTTTATTCATTTCTTACTGGAAATAAAATCGAGATAATCTATATAATAATTTTCTCTCTGAATGCAGAACTTACTAAGAATTGTCTTTTGATAAATGATAGATCTGGCACATGTTGTCCATTGATTGGGACTTAGGAAGTGGCTGCCCTTTAGCGAGGGCATATTCTCTGCCAGCTTTTTCTCCATTTTGTTTCTCATTGTGAGAATTTCATTTTTCATTCTGGTTACTTGTTCTCTGTTAGTATTTGTGATCTTATTGTAAATATTTGGGATAGTTATATTCTAATCCTAATGCTTTGAATATTCATCCCACTTGATTTGGAAGATAAAATAAATGGTTAACATCGCCTTTGCTTTTTCCTTTATAAATTTTTGGTGAACATTAGATGCTAAAACTATCCTGTCAGATATATGCATTATTTTGCTTATTTTGCAATCTTGCATGTAAGTTGTCTTTTGTGAACTACTTTATCCTATCATCTCAAGTTTTTTTGACATCCTTTTATAAAAACACCTTTTTTCCTGATTGTTAATTTTATTTCTTTTTCTGTTTTTCAGATTTGCTTAGATAATCCCTTTTTGTTTTAAATTTTTGTGTTTGAGTGATATATTGAATATATTCAGAATTAGTATAAAAATAACTTTCAGTTTTTCATTTTTTTTCCCTTTACTATAATAGAGTAGTTCCTTTTGGTGCAAATAATGCTTTTACCATGCCTCTTCATATGACTTTTTGGGGAAAAGAAGAAAATAGAAAAGTGGTTTTAGATCAGTTGAAGAAACATGGATTTAAACTGGGTTCCACCTTGAAAGGTATGTTTGATACTGTGAGGTTCAGGGATTGTAATTTGTCTCTTTTAGTTTGGTTGGCTAACGTAATGTCTGCAAAATACTTTAAATTATAACTCCTTTTTTAAAATCTTTTGAAGAATTGCTGACGTTTCCTTTTATATTTCTATTGAAATGATAGATTCTGAGGAATGTATGAATGTGTTTATTTTGTCACTGTCTAGCCATCATAGATCACTCATACATGAGATAGTTAATCATATTGGTCCACCATTATATGTCCAAATCAGAACTTCATGTTTGTAATTATGGATTCATCCACACACCAAAAAATGTACACAAGGAGGGTCAATGTCCTCTATTTAATTTTCCCCAATATTAACCTAATTCTTTATTTTAAACATTTATTTTTAATAACTTTTTTTAACAAAAAGAATTGTTGAGTAGGGAGTGAAAAGGAATTTGCTGTTCTCTTAGAATTTATTCAAATAATATGCAATTATTTTTAAAATGTAATTTTTTTTCTTTTGCGAATGATTTAGTATTTAGCTTTATTTTTTTTTTAGCTTTAGGGATATATTTCAGTAGTAGATCATTTATATACTTTTATATTCTTTGCAGTTCTGGGACTATCCATACTAGGCAATTATTCTGACACTGAGCTACAACCCCAAGACTATGGCATTTTTAAATACTGTTTGGTATTTACATTTATTCTGGTGCTTAATTTCTTTTTATTTGCTCATTTTATTTTTTCTCTTTGGAAACTGTAGATTTAGGATTGAGTTCGAAGAATAGTTTGGTCTCTGGAAGATCTGGACCAAGATATAATATGCCAGCTCATGTTGCGGTACAGATGACAGCTGAACAGGTAAGCTTTCTGTTGTTTGTTCATTTTTATCTTGAGTCAGGGTCTCATGTAGATTTACCTCAAAATCATTTTTGTCTTAGGGTTTCTATTGCTGTGAAGAGATACTATGACCACAGAAACTCTTAAAAAGGAAAACATTTAATTGGGAGGCTTACAGTTTAGGAGTTCAGTCCATGGTGAAACATGGTGTCATGCAGGAAGACAGGCAACTGGAAGTGGTCTCTCACTGGGCATGGCTTGAGCATGTATGAGAACGTAAAGCCCGCCTCCACTATGATAGGTACTCCAACACGGCCACACCTCCTACTAGTGCCACTCTCTTTGGGGGCCAATTTCTTTCAAACCACCTTAACTGTGTGGCTGAGAATGGCCTTGAACTCCTGGTCTTCCTGCCTCTGACTCAAATATTGGGATTAGAGGTTTGTCATCACACCTGCCTCAGGTATGTTTTTATCTTGTACTGTATGTAAATTTTTAGTGATAAAGGTTGCTGCTTAAGAGAACAAGATAAATATGTATGTGCTGGTATTAGTGATCTTTAGTTGTGTTGTTAAAATTGTAATGAAAACTACTGTATTGCATATAGAATGTAGATATTTATTTGCAAACATAATCTTAAAAAGCAGTGATAAGAATTATACTCATCCCTTTTAATTCACAGAAACGAACTATCCAATCACACACACACACACACACACACACACACACACAGCACTTTTTGTATAGAATCACTACATATCTCATATTTTAAACAATTTCTAAATTATATTATCTGCTATAAATATAAAAGATATGTAGTAGTTAGTCTATTGTTTAGGGAATAATGACAAGGGAAGTCTGTGTAAAGAGGCTTAGTACAGACATAAACATTGTATGACACAATATTTTTGATTAATTACATCTATGAAAAGGAGGATGGGTTTACATTTATGCAGTTATACATATAGAAAATTATAGATACATTGTATAGGTAATATTTTTGTATATAAATTTTCAGAATGTCCAAGTGGTAATAAAAAAACACTAGACTGTGAAAAGTATTCTCGCTCTTCAGTAAGATTGCAAATTCAGTATTAAAAAACTTAAAATCTGTGACATTACTGGAATTATTTTGCCTAATTTGTAATCCAGGATGTTGTTAAACCAAGTTACTCTGAAAAAATGTATATGATGTTTGTTAATGTTAATATAAATAATTTGGACGATAACATTAAAACATTTTTATGACTGCCCACCAGTAGTTTTAGACTAAAGCATTCAAACATTTTGTATCTGTTTATCTACTAGAGGTATTCTTTTTATTTCCCAAATAAACTTTTCCTGAATGTTGACAGGACATGAGCTTGTGCACGGTGGGCAGATCGTAAGCCACTTCTATTAAGCTGGCATGATGTTTTCTAGATGACTGCTATGTATTCATATGCTATTTTGTAAAGACATACAGTGTAAATTGCTTTAAAACTGAACTAGATCAATTTAAATGATCAGCTAAATTAGCGTAATATTGGATTTACCCTAACAGGACATTGTAATAAGTTTGCCAAAATAGTTTAAATGCTAGCAGAATCATAGAGTTCTAATGGGAGAGAGAAAATTGGTAATTTAACTTCTTTCATGTTCTAGATTCATGAAAATAAGACACAGGCAATAGTTCTCTGCCTAAACATGCAGGGTCATTTGTGCACATGTCTTAGGACTTAAACTTCACTCCTGTCCTTTCAGTATCTTTAGGCCTTGTAGAGGGTTGGGCCAATGTTCTCTCAGCAGGCTATATCTCAGGCTATATACAGCTCTTTTGTATATTTATCTGAAATGAGTACATTTACTTCTATAGAAAAATCACCTTGTAATGCTTTTCAGTGAGTGATTTACTGTCTCAGATACTTATTTTATGTATGCTTCACCATTTGACTTATTCGGTGTAAATGATTTGAAACCTATAGATTACATGTAATTTTCACTTTGTTTTTAATCAGCATTTATTATTTTTAAACTGTAGCTCAAAACGGAATTTGACAAATTATTTGAGGATTTAAAAGAAGATGCCAAAACTAATGAGATGGAGCCAGCTGAGGTACAGAACCTATATATTTTTTTAAAAAGTGGTTTATATTGTATATAAAGTTTTATAATGACTTTGCTTTTCAAATGTGCAATATACTTTGAGCTTAACCATATTCATAACCCATTACCTTCTCCTTTCTCTCCTAAGTATTTCCATGGAGTGTTTGTTCTGTTTTTCATGTCAGAAAGAATATGTTTGTATTATGTATATATGGATATTTGCATACACACACCCTAGGTTCCCAGTATGAGAGAAAATATGTGATGTGGGTCTGACTTTCTTTCTAGGTCTGCCTTTACCACAAAATAATAATGATCCAGTTCCATCTATTTTTCTGTAACACACATAAGTTTGTACTTTAAGGCTGAATAAAACTGCACAATGCAAATATGCTTCATTTTTCATCTCTTCATTTATTGACAAATGCCAGATTAAACTTGGAAGAGCTCACTCACAGTAGATTATATGTATATGTAGCTTTCCTAGATAACTTCATATTGATTTTGATAGTGGCTGCACTAGCTTACATTTCCACTAGCATTATAGAAAAATTCCCTTTTTCCTAAGTCCTTGTGAACATTTTTCTGTTTGTTTAAAATTATACCTGTTCTCATAACTTAGTACATAGCTAAGGACATTGGGCACTCTTTCACATGTATATTGGCTATCTGTATATTGCTTTTTTGGAAATGCCTGTTTTCTTTATTTCCTCATTTGTGGATAGACAGTTTCAATTTCAGAAAAGGATTCCAGAAACTCAAGAAATTATTTCTGGAACTGACTCATTGAAAGCAGTTAACAGACTGCCAAGATAGTTTAGAAATTGGGGCAGTCTCTGCTAGCTGCATGTCTGTTTTAGGGTTGATATATAGAAAATATAAAGAACTTAAAAATATAAACCAATATTTCAAATGTATTGAATTATTAGCTGTCTCAGTAATTTATACATTTAATAATATAAGAAAATAACTCAGGTTCTGCATATGAAAAGGGTAAAGACTGATTATGTTTTTCTTTATGACATTGCATTTGTAGGCTATTGGAACCCCATTGCTTCCACACCAAAAACAAGCTCTGGCTTGGATGATTTCACAAGAGAACAGTAAAGAACTTCCACCATTCTGGGAACAACGAAATGACTTATATTATAACACAATAACAAATTTTTCTGTAAAGCAACGACCAGAAAATGTTCATGGAGGAATTTTAGCTGATGATATGGGTTTGGTAATTTTTTTTTTAACTTCAGTTAGGAAAATCTTACTTTGCAATTACAATTTTCTAAAAAGAACTTGTAAAGTGGAAAGATGGGTGCCAGTTTAGGACTGGAGTTTGCTTTCAATGTAGATGTAAGATACATATTTTTAAGTATTTTTTTTTTAAGTATAGGCTTCTAGGAAACCAACAGATGGATCAAAGAGCAAAAAAATAGTTAAAAATGGGTAATAAAATACAGTAACATTAATGAGTGTATAAGCGTATATTCCCAATTTTCTTTACTTATCAGAATTCAGGACAACCTACCATTCATGTGGCTTTTAAAAAGTAAATGATGGTGAGTTTAGTTTCCATCATTGCAAAAAATAGTAGAATGTAAAGAAAGGCCCAGTTATTTCAGCTGAGGAGCCTGCGCCTCATTTTGTGCTTTCAGAAAGAAAACCTTTGGTATCGGTAGTAATGTCAACAACAAGAGAGAAGCAATAGTCTCACAACCTTCTTACAACCTATTTAACTATACTGGTCTATTTGTTTCTTATTCTGCTTCTGCTGCAGACCTGCATCCTCAGCTACCAGAGAATGCAATCATCTTTAAGGACTATGCGGATGACCCAAGAGACTGAGGTTACCTGGTTGGAGGGCCTACCACCAAGCTAAGCTAGAACAAGTTAGCTGTCCCTGCAGGTTCCTTTCCTACTAGAATATGGATTCTGGCCTCATATTATGACTTTATGTATTACCCCAGCTTCAGTGTCACTAGGTCTGCTGAGAAATTTAGAAATAGTAATAATGCAGGTTCTGAGAAGTTTGACCTGAGACATGGACAGTTAGACAGGAGCCATGAGATGTCAGATGCTAGCACAAGAAACAAGACAGGTATCATGACAAGTTAGCCTGGAGCCATGACAACAGTAATAAAGTAGACAAAGGGAGTGGGGCAGGGATGGGACAAGAGCAATAGGCCTGATAAGGTAGACATGGAAGAGGACAGAAAATGGTGTTGCCAGTGCGCAGAGCAGTCTTACATGCATCACAAAAAAGTGGTAAGCGGAAGATAGAGTTAGACCCCATGGATCAGCATCTGCTCCTGGGGCTTCCCAAATAGAGTGAGGCCATGATGGGCAGTGACGCTGACACGACCAGGTCACTCTCCTAGCAGTGTCCATCCCGCTCATAGGACTGTATTTCTGCCAGCACTGAGCCTCCTCACTCAGGATCTAACAGAAGGACCGAACCCTGACTCCTCTGACCCCTGGCAGTTTTCTTACCTCCTCTTTCCTTTCTTCCCTTTCTCTATCCTGCAGATAAATCTGGGCTTCATCTCTGTTAGACATGCATCCTACATATGCTCCTACATATTTAACTCTCCATTCCTTGGTGTCTTTAGTAACAGTTTTGTTTTGTGGGTTTTTTTTTTTTGTGGGAGGAAAGAAGATAATGTTATTTGAAATCATATTCTAGTTCAAACACTGGGTATGCATTGGAGCATAGTACATATTAGTGACTGGTTACCACAGCCATTCCTGTGGCTTTGGTCATAGAGCTCTCACTTTGAGCTCTATAACTATACAGTATCAGGCATTAAATTAAATAGTTTTGAAATATTTAAAAGAAACAATAGATAAAATCTTAGAAGTAGCATATTTTAAAGATAATTCACATATCAGTATTCATAATAATAATAATAGTAGCTTTTATGAGAATGCTGTCACTGTTCAGTTGTGCAGTTGTTCTGATGTGTACATGCAGAAGGTGGCAACTGACTGTCAAATTGTGGCATTGTTTGCTATGTTGGGATTGTGTTGCCTTTTTTCCTTACAGACAGTGCAAAAGTAATGTATTATTAGTTTCTTTTCTTATCTCTATGATACCATTTCTAACTTTAGAGAGGAATTTTATTTTATTTTTTGACTTTCAGTTCTAGAAGATACAGTCTGTCATGGGGAAGGTAAAGGGGCAGGAATTTAAGTGGTGGCCATCTTGTGCCTGTAGTCAAGAGGCAGACATGCATGCAGATGATAACCCAGTCTATGGAATGGTGCCACACACAGTTAGAGTGGCTGGCCCTTCCTACCTCATTTACCTAGTCTAGAAATTTTAGTATGGACATATCTCAGAGGTTTGTCTTCCAGGAGATTGTAGTTCCTGTCAAGTTTACAATTAGTATTAATCTCATAAGTATTTTAAAAGCTCTTAAGATGATATCCTTTTAAGATGAAATACTAAAATCCAACTATTTATTCATTAAAGGTACTAACCACTAGACAATAATACTAACTTTATTATCATTACAGTTCATCTGTTCATGTTGTATATTGAATGTTTTACCTGTTGCCCTTTGGAACATGCTAATGGTACATCTGCTACATATGGTGCATTTCGTCATGAGTGTTGCCCCTAATCTTATAAACAAAGAATTACATTCTTGGCAGTTGCTTTAGTCATACTATAATGTACAAGTTTTGTAACATTTTAATGTATTACTGAAAATTGAATTAACCCTTACAACAAATACTATTGTTTTCCTTAAAGACAATGCCTTACACCTTGCATTGATTACTTTGAACAAAATTCAGCATAGACACTCAGTCATTAACAATGACAGTTGCTCATTCTTTCAAGTAAAAATAGTATATGAATTTTGCAAATATGCATGTAACAACAATTAATGACAAAAGAGGCCATGAATTTGAAAGGAAGATTTGAGAGGAGAAGATGATCTGATTATAATCTCCAAAAGGGGTATGTAGCAGTGCCTGAGGACTGACAGTAAGATTCTTCTCTGGCCTCCATACGTATGTATACACATGCACCTACACACACATAAATAATTTTGATCTTACATTCTCCTGAAAGGGTATGAGGGTACCAGACTTTGGGGACTGCTTTATTTTTTTTATTTTTATTTTTATTTTTTTTTTTGGATTTTCGAGACAGGGTTTCTCTGTAGTTTTTGGTGCCTGCCCTGGAACTAGCTCTTGTAGACCAGGCTGGCCTCGAACTCACAGAGATCCACCTGCCTCTGCCTCCCGACTGCTGGGATTAAAGGCGTGCGCCACCACTGCCCGGCTTGGGGACTGCTTTAAAATTACTACTTTTATTTCTGTGTTACTAACTATGAATACTACTGTTGAAAGTGATGGTCTTCATATGCATATTAGAATTTCTCATTATCTTTACTGTGAGGTTCAGTAAAAGCTGTTGATATTAGTTTCATGATAAAATGATAGTTCAATGTAGAGTGTTAATCATTCAATAAAGTAACATTTCTCTGCTGCTTATAGTCAAACATCTAGTAACTTATGTTAGAAGAAAAATGCTCTTAACTAAGTGAAATACTTATTTTTCATTAACAGTTATATTGTTTAATAATCATACATGCTGTGACTTTGACTGATACTATTTTATTACTTTAAAATAGGTTTGGTTTTTTTTTTTTTTAAAAAAATAAAATATGTTTTGAAATGTTTTCTGGTTGGATTTTAGAATCTGACCATTTGTCTTTTAAAAATATTTTAAAGGGCAAAACTCTGACTGCTATTGCAGTGATTCTGACCAACTTTGCTGATGGCCAGCCTCTTCTCAGTAACAGAAGAGAGAAGAATCATCCCAGAAAGGTAAAGAAAGTGTGTGCTTGGAAGACTGCTTTACCATAGACATTTCTATATCATTAAAGTACCTGACACCTAATTAATAATAACTGATCTTGTTGAGATGTGATTAATGGTTTTTAAACCACTCATAATGACACTTATAGAAGTGTAAGTTTTCTTGAGGGGTGAATGTTTTTAATCCCAGTACTCAAGGGATTTTTAATCCCAGTTTTTAATCCCAGTACTCAAGCAGATCTCTGAATTTGAGACCAGTCTAGTCTACAAAGTGAGTTCCAGGCCAGTCAAGGGATACATAGTAAGAGTTTAGTTCAAAACAACAGAAATAAAACAAATTAAAAAACTCCAAATATACAAATAAGAGTATAAGTACCATATTTGTCTTAGTTCTGTTTCTGTGAAGAGCACGATGACCAGGTTTACTTACCAAAAAAACCATATTAATTGGGAGGTTGTTTATAGTTTCAGAGGGTTAGTCCATTATCACCAAGGTGATCATGGTGGGGAGCATGGAAGTATGCAGGCAGGCATGGCAGTGAAACAGTAGCTGAGAGTTCATTAGTGCTGGTAGATGGGAGGGACGGACAGAGACATTAGAAATAAACAGATATTCCTGTTCTCAACTGAAAATCCTAAAAGCCTGAATCAGAAAACAGCACAAAGCTGCTTTCTGTATTTTACTTTTCATGTACACTAGTTTTCCTTAGACCTTATTATTGAATTTTTAATTTTTTTTTTTTTTACTTTTACTGGTATTTTAATCTGCTAGGATCTCAGATATATTTATTTGTTTGCTTTTTTGTTGATTTTGCTATGAATACTACTGCTGTATCTTATTAGCTTTGGGAATTCCAGAAAAGAGAGTGTGGTAAGGCAGCCTAATGGAGCTCCAGAATCTTTGTTTTAAAATTTAGTGTGGCCGGGCGGTGGTGGCGCACGCCTTTAATCCCAGCCCTCAGGAGGCAGAGGCAGGTGGATCTCTGTGAGTTCGAGGCCAGCCTGGTCTACAGAGCTAGTGCCAGGACAGGCTCCAAAGCTACAGAGAAACCCTGTCTCGGAAAAAACAAAAAACAAAACAAAAAAAAAACAAAATAAAATTTAGTGTAGGAGCGTTTTATTCTAATGTCAATCTCATGTCATGAGTTTTTTTTTTTCCAAACTAACATGTATAATTGAAAGCTTTTTTTTGTGCATCTGTGTGTTTGTGTTCATTTGGAAAGATTAAGGCCAACTAATTTTCACTTTTTTAGTATAGTGGGAGCTTTTCCTATTTTAAGCAAATATCAATATGTACAATTAGCTAACTAGGCAGTTTTTTTTAATTTTTATTTTTTGTAATGTTTATACAAGATTTTCCTACCTCTCTTCCCACCCAACTTCATATTCTTTCTCTCAAAATGAAACAAAAAACATAAAAAATGGGACAAGTATGGATTGGTGCAAGAAAAAGAGTAAGAGAAGAAAAAGATACTTAAAACACTGATAAAAGCACATAAAAACATGACGTCCGTTTTGTGTTAGCCAGCTGTTTCTGAGCATGGGTCCTGTCCTGCGATGTGGTTTATATACCTAATTTCACTTTTTTGGAATAAACAACTGATTTTCTTTTTCCTAACAGGAATGAATTGCAAATAGTTTCTTATGTAGGGGTGGGACTTTGTGCCTATTTTCTCTCCCCCGTGCTGGGATTTTGTCTGGCTTGAATGTGTGTAGGTCTTACGTGTGCTGTCACACTTTTAAGTTCATAATGTGAACAGTATTGTGTCTGGAAAATGCTGTTTCCTTGGAGTTATCTGACTCTTAAGTTGTTCTGCCTACTCTTCCACATAGACTCTGACCCTTGAGGTAAGAGGTTTGAAAAAAACATCTTTGTCTGTTGTGCAACTCTTGGACATCAGAGAAACCACAATTCCTTCCCTGAAAGATAGATGGGTGTTATCACAGAACTTTTCTTTTTGAGGCACTAATATCAGTAAAGCCACATACATTTAAAAGCATTGTTTGTCATGTCTTCAAGACATTTTTAAGTCTGATATAACAGATATATGCCCTCTAACCTACATGAAAAGTAGTGTGTGTGTTTCTCCTGTTTCTTGGGAACCCTTGATGTGAGTCAGCATATGACTGAGGATCTATATCTTGCTTTTAATGCTATTTGTGTCGGCACTTTCTCTAGCAATAAACTGCTGTATATAAGCCAAAAAATAAAAGGAATAAAAAAAGAAAAAAAACACATCTCATTTGGTGTTGAATCTTTCAAAATCTTTCACTTCGTATGTTTACAAGTTGTATCTGTTTATTACCATCTATTGCAAGCAGAAACTTCTCTCTACTGAGAACTGTGGAATGCACTGATCTGTGAGTGTGGGAGTGTGTCATTAGGAGTTGTTTTATCACAGTGTTCATGTGTCGGAATAACAGTACTAGGTTTTCCCCTTGTCTCAGGTTCTGGGCTACTTCAGCAGTGCCAAGTATGGGCTCTGTCTCATGGAGTTACTCTAATAACATTTATACTGTCATTGTACTAGTATATTTTGTAAGTGTGTCATTATTGTAGCTTGCAGTGCTCAAAGCTAGATAATAGTGATGATTCCTTTTCTACTCTGCTAGTGTGCATAGACCTTCAGCTCCGCAAACACTAATCAGTAGGTGTGAAGCTTCTCATCATTTTCAGTTGTGATACTGGTGAAAAAAATTTAAATCTATGTATATTTTTACCTCTATTTTCATCATTTTTAAAATAGTGAGAAATCTGTCAGCATTTTTAAGTAGACTTCATTATGTAAAGCAATAAAAAAACTGGTATTCCGTTGAAGAAAATGCCTTTTTACATAGGAATACAAGGACGAGACTGTTAAACTCAGAGGAAGTAATACTAACAACGAGGCTGATGGACTAAGCACAGGTGAGTTTTAATTATGAATATGAATGTTTTTCTCACCTAAGATAATTCTGTTTTGGGTTTTGTAATATATAAACATTTAGGGTCTATTTTTCTAAAGAATGGTGTGAGGACTGGTAATTAGAAAAGTTTTTGTCAAAGTAATTGATTGGTTATTAGTATAAAACCAGTTAGAAAGGTTAGGGGAAATGTTTTTGAGAGAAAAATTTCTCCAAAGAACAATTTAAAGAAAAGAATAATATTTTGTTTTAGAACTTCATTGTATTTAAAAGCTAGAAAGAAATTAGAACCAACTCTGAAATCAAAGAAGGGAAGAGATCTGTGATGTTAGCAGTCATGACCTTTATACTTTAATTTTTGAAGCCAGATTGAAGTAGAACAAGGCTAAAAGTATTGTAGATTAGTATGAAGAACAATAAGGGATAGAAAACATTCTTTGAGAGTAGAATTGAGTATAATTTTTGCTTTTTTATTTGGATATAGGGGTTAGAATAGTCCATAAGCTTGTGGGAGAAAATGAGAACTCAAGAATAATTACATAAGTTAGCATTCTTAAGCTTGGTAGAATACATAAGCAAGTGGGTGGTGGGTGAGAGGTAGGAAAATTGACTTATAATAGATAATGGCATCAAATTTTCATTGAAAATTAATGAAGTGCTCTGGGAAGAAAATGAGTTTGAATTTAGGCCAACAGTGGTGTATTACAGAACCTGGGAGGACTAAACAGTGATAAGGAAGAGTGCTAATATATTTGAAAATTTAGCCTCTGGGTTGGTCACTGACTATGGAAAAAGACATATTTATTGGTTCATAAAAAAATTGAAGGTATATCCCAGTGGAAAAATACTAGTTTAGGAAAAATGCGGAAAGAGTACCAGGAGCTTGAAAGGAGTAAAGTTATTAAAGCTGAATGTTGATTATGGAAAATCTAAGCTTTTTGGAGAGATGGTGCTATTTTAAAACAGCTTGTTTACTCTGTGTGTTTCTTTGAAATAGAGCCATCTAGATGTGGCGGAGAACCCGTTATTTCACATATTCAGGAGATGAATAAGTTTCTCATATCAGAAGTGTCTAGCTTTTGCCCTAAAAGGTAAAGTGTCGGGGTTTAGCTACATGGCATGTTTGCTACACTCTTCCTCTGCATTCTTGTAAGAGAAAGAGATGAGTACTATATTTCAGTTATAGTTTACTTCAAGTACATTTCCTAATTGCAGATTACTAAATTACAGTGACAGTATAGTGTTATTTTAAAAATAAAACATAATATTACTCTATAAAAATAATTTAATTCTTAAATCATGCTGCCAATCTTTTCCTGCTTTTTATTTTAAAAGTAAAGTAATATTAATCTATACAATAAGTGGTTTATTTCTAACCATCGCTACCACTTTTCCCTTATTTCTTTTCCTTTCTCTCCTCTCTCTTCCTTTCCTCCCTTCCTCCCTTCCCTTTCTTCGTTTCTTTTTTTTTGGAGGGGGGGGTTCAAGATGGGGTTTCTCTGTAGCTTTGGAGCCTATTCTGGAACTCTCACTGTAGACCAGGCTGACCTCTAACTCACAGAGATCCACCTGCCACTGCGTTACAAGTGCTGATATTAAAGGCGTACGCCACAACTGCCTGGCCACTTGGTGATTATTATTATTTTTTTTGACCTAGATTTTCTTGTGAAACATTAAGAGTTTTCCTTTCGCTTTTGGGAATGTAGAAAGGAAGGCTTTTTGAAGGATGTGTTTGGAGTATTTAACACAGCTTTCTTTGCTTTGTTCAAAAAATTATTTGTGGAGCATTAACACAGACTAGAATCTAGGGAGAATTTGGATAAAAGATACCATTCCCGTTTGGTAATACGTTGAATCTGTTGACTTTATAAATTTCATTTACCCTCTCAACTAGGTGTAGGTCCCAGACTTTTGTTATGTAGTGTTTTCTCCCATCAGTGTACATGGATGTGATTTGTGTCTAAATCTCCACTAGTAATTTCTCAGCAGCAGTCACAAAATATGGTGTACTTGATGATTCTGTCATTAATTCCCTCATGAACTGAACTCAAAGTCATTACTTACTAGTTTTCTTTTTATTTAAATTTTTTTCATTTTATTATTTATTATTACACATAAGTGCATGGTTATTGTATGTCTGTGTGCCACATGCATACCCAGTGCTCAAAGAAGCCAGAAGAAGGCATCTAATCACTTGGAACTGAAGTTCCATACCTATATGAGCAGCCACATGTGAGGAATTGAACCTAGGTCTTCTGGAAGATGAACCAGTGCTCTTAATCTCTGAATTTAGCCTCATTTCCTTCTTATGTAAATGCCAAATCTTAAATCTAAACTAGTCATAAGCCTGTATAATATAGCACTGTTGGGTAGACTAGATCAGAAAAAAGGAAATAAATATATAACAAGGAAAATATGTACAAACAGAACCCAGAATATGTACTATATAGCCAATACAGACATGCTTACTTTTCAGAATGATAGTATTTTTAGGTATTTTGTATATAGTTACGTTTATACTATCTAGTTGGTTTTATTCTTATCCCCATTTTCCAAGTGAGGAAACAGACATAGTTCAGTGATTTGCATGAAGTCATAACAAGTTACTAATAAAATGAGAATTAGAATCTTGGTAGTCTAATTCCAAAGTCCTTTGTTCTTAAATGCTTACTATACAAAGTTTATGAAATAATCATATTTTCCCTTTGATAAGAGTTGGATTTTTCCCTCTTATTCCATTTGTAAAGACTCTATCAAGATTTTCTTTATTGGTTTATATTATACATACTGGTAGAATTCATAAAGGCATTATTTTCAATACCAGATACCTTGGCCATATTCATCCTCCATCTGCTTTTTTTTCACCTCCATCTAATCTCCTTTCTTCCAATATCTCTTTTGCTTTGATGTTATATAAATATGTGTGGAGAATTTTGAGTATATATAGCTTTATGTGTCTTTGTTCAATTTAAGTTACACAAAATGAGCGAAAACATTTACTTGCCTGAGTCTGGCTTATTCTTGGCATTTTCTTGTCATGATTCATTTTTCTTTATGGCTAACACCATATTGTTTAGATGTAACATGTCTTTCTTTATTAATTTGGCTGTTGATGGGACATCCACACTAGGTGCATTCTTTAGCTCCTGTAAATAATGCAACAGTAAGCACTAATGTGCTTGCATCTCCATAGTGTGTTAACTCAGTCTTTTGGGTATATATGCAGGAGTGGTATACCTGGACCATGCAGTAGTTCTGTTTTTAGCTTTTTTTTTTTTCTAAAATATTTTATTTATTTATTATGTATACAATATTCTGTCTGTGTGTATGTCTGCAGGCCAGAAGAGGGCACCAGACCTCATTACAGATGGTTGTGAGCCACCATGTGGTTGCTGGGAATTGAACTCAGGACCTTTGGAAGAACAGGCAATGCTCTTAACCACTGAGCCATCTCTCCAGCCCCTGTTTTTAGCTTTTTGATGACCCATTATGTCTTCAAAAATGGCTACACTAGTTTACAGTCTCAGAACAACACACAGGCTCTCATTTTCCTTGCATCCCCATCGGCATTTATTTGTTTTGTTTTTCCTATCTTTTTTTAAAAAATCCTTATTCTTGAGAATTTCATACATGCCCCCTTTTTATTCCTTGTGGGAATTGAATTCCCTCCTCAATCTGTCCTTCCTCCTCTTCTTCTTCTTTTCCTCCTCCCCTCCCCCTTCTTCCTCCTCTTCTTGATAAACAACTAAGTCTGGTTAGTACTGCCCATAGGTTCATTGGTATGGGACCATCTATAGGAGGAAGAAAGACCTAACAGTAGCCACAATCTTAAAAAAGAATGACTCCCTTTCTTCTAGCAATTATCAGCTTCTAGTAGCTCCTCTGAAAGGGGAGGGGCCTGGAGAAAATATCAACCTATGTCAGGGTTTTGACTGTCCTTATTGTATGCCTGTAACCATAGTTGCAATGAGTTCATGAATTTGATAGCGGTGTCATGTCCTCTCCATCTACCAGCTCATTGTTTTTACCTCCTCTTTCCCAACATTTCGTGAACTTTATTGGAGAATAGGGGATGACAGAAGTCCTCAATCAGGGACATTGGAGCTAATCCTTAGTCTCTTATTTTTATCACTTTGATCAATTGTAAATGTCTGCATTGACTTCAATCCACTGCAAAAAGAAGCTTCCCTCACTGAGATTAAGAGCACCCCAAGACTATAGATGTAAACAGATAGTTAAAAGGTAATTTGACAATATGCCATTTAGCAAAACAACATTAATAGGTTCTACCTTAGGGCCTTTGAACTTCCCAGCCAGAGTCTTTTGATCAAGATTATATTCCCTCTCCAGATCTACCAGTATCCACTAATTCAGCAGGGAGGAATAGGGCTCCTTGAACTCCTCCCCCATGATGACTGACTATTGAGAGGACTAGTGCAGACCCATTGAATCTCTACCTATCTCTCTAAAGCATTTGTATATGTTCACTTGCAGACTATCTGTAGTCAGTTACTGCATGCAGATGCAGACTGTCTTAGAGTGCTCACTGTGTCTATACAGGTGACTTTCTCTATGTGGTCACATACCTAAGTATAGGTACAGAATGTTTCTGAGCCAACACTTGTATAAGTGTAGGTAACCATCCTATCTCTACACTGTTAAATGTTTTCTTTGCTGTTTGGATTGGTGTTTTCTGGTGATAGGAGAAGCTTTGTGATATTAAGCTTCCTATGTTGGTTGATCTTTGTTTTGTTTGCCTTGTATCCAGAGGTTGTGCTTTGTGAGCATTGTAACTTAGAAATATCTGTCAGTCTGTAGACACTAGAAAGGGATGTCAGCAGGGTTTCCAGTGGCACCTGCCCTAGTTAACTTTTTTTTTTCCATTCAAAACTTTACACTTCCTCCTCTCCTCCCATTCCCCTCCCACTCCCTCACTCACCCTCCTCCCTCTACCTCCCTCCTTAAGAGAGGGCAGGGAATCCTGCCCTGTGGGAAGTCCACCCCCCCCACCCCTCCACCCCCACCCCCCATCCAGGCCTAGGAAGCTTTGCATCCAAATAGACTAGGGTCCAAAAAAAGCCAGTACCTGCAGTAGAAACAAGTCCCTGTGCCTTTATCAATGGCTTCTCAGTCAGCCCCCATTGTCAGCCACATTCAGAGAGTCCGGTTTGATCACATACTCATTCAGTCCTGGTCCAGCTTAATTTGGTGAGCTCCCATTAGAACAGGTACACTGTCTCAGTGGGTGGACCAACCCCTCTCGGTCCAGACTTCCTTGCTCATCTTCTCCTTCCTTCTGCTCTTCAACTGGACCTTGGGGGCTCACTCCGTTGCTCTGATGAGGGACTTTGTCTCTATCTCCATCCTTTGCCGGACAAAGATTCTATGGTGATATTCGAGATAATCATCAGTGTGATAGTGGGGCAAGGCCAGTTCAGGCACCCTCTACTCTGATGCCCAAGGACCTAGTTGGGGACATCCCCGTGGACACCTGGGATTCCCTCTAGAACCACATGTCCTACTCTTAAAGAACTAGTGAATCTTAGTGTAGTCCATTGTTCAGACCCTATTTCTACTACTTAAGAACACTGTGCTCTTAGTTGGAGTCCCAACCCCCACTGAGTGATTCTTTCCTGGCTGGGTGGCCAGGGAGGAACAAGCGATTCTTCCCCCAACAAAGTGTTTTGCACTTCAGGACTCAGAATAGTCCCATGACCCTTGTCCTGGGCCATACAGAATGGAACTTTGCATCTATTTCCGCCAAGTTTCTAGCAAAGCAAAGGTCTTTTTTATGACTAGACTGATACCTCTGCTCCAGCCAAATACTGAATATGAATATGCGCTCCCAAATTATTGTCTGGTTGAACTGTAAATCTTCTCAGTGATGTGACTGCTATCAGTGTACTTTCTGTAAAGGCTTATTTTTTGTTTTGTCTTTCGATTCTGCCTATCTCTGGTGATTTGTACAGATGTTATACAAATTGGCTGTACATATGTCTGCCCTCCTTCCTTTCTTTTTCTTTGCTACATTATCTTGTACTGAGAGTAGGACTGTCTGAAGGTCTGTTTGTCCTAAGCTGGGGTCCTCATCCTGTCCAGTTGTTCCCAGTCCTCTTTGGAGAACAGAGAATGCCCCAATTGGGTCTTGAGTATTTTAGAATCAACTGTGGACATTCCTGTTCTGTTTACTCCTTATTTCTTTGCTGCTGAAGCCAGTGTTTTCCTGTCATCACTCCTCTCACAGGAAAAGTGCCTCTAGCAGTCCTTGCTTTACTTCCTTGTAAATTTAACAGTCTGCATGTGGCTGTCATCTGCCGTCTCTTTTTCTTTTCTTTTTTTTTTAAATATATATTTATTTATTATGTATACAGTGTTCTGCCTGCATGTGTGCCTATACACCAGAAGAGGGCACCAGTTCTCATTACAGATGGTTGTGAGCCACCATGTGGTTGCTGGGAATTGAACTCAGGACCTCTGGAAGAGCAGTCAGTGCTCTTAACCACTGAGCCATCTCTCCAGCCCCTGCCGTCTCTTTTTGGTTCTAATGTTCCATCAGTGTTTTAGTTGAACTACTGAATACTGAATTCTATGTGAATGACTTTTCAAATGTAATCTTAGTGGTACTAGATTTTACAAATGCATAAGAGGAAAAAAAACTTTTTAGCATATTTGACTTTTACTTGGCAAATCAGGGACTTTTTTGAAAGAATTTTTAAACAGTGAATTGGAGTTAAACAGCTTCTGTATTGAATGTGTTAAACATACTGCTTTACTACATTTTATTTTGTATCTTTCAATTTCAGAAGAAAAATTTCTGTTGAGTATACTGAAAGCAGTGATTCAGAGAAAATTGAAACTAGTGAGCTGGCACAGAAAATGAAAGGTAATACGACTTGGTTTGACTCTGTCATATATTCTGATCGCCTAGTGTGTCCAGCTTTATTTATTTGTTTATTTATTTATATTTTAGATAAGCTGAAAAATGTACAGTCAGATACTAAAAGTTGAGTAAAAAGTAAGTGTATATTACATCACAGTGTTTACATAATCTGTGTGTGAAGATTTTAAAATGAAGCAATCATTAATTGACATCTTCTTAGTTTGAAAGGTTTTTATCAATAGTATAAAATTTGGCTGCTTTTGAGCTCTTCCCTGCATTTGAACTTCTCATGAATTTATCATGTGTTAATGAATTAAGTGATTTAAATTCAACGAATAATTTCAACTTAAAAATCTAGTGCTGAATATTTAATCCAACTTGAAACAAAACAGTCATTTTCTTCTACTTATAATATCTTGCATAAAACATTGTATTTTTACACAGGTTTGTTCAAGCATGTACACACACAAATGCACACACACACACACACACACACATACACACAAGTAATGAACAGGTTTGGAGTTCCTTCTTGGCAACATTCACATTAAGCACATATAAAAGAATGTTTCCTTCATTTTTATGACATTCTTTATTTTCAAGTCCTATTGTCTTTCTGGTTAGCTGAGAAATACATTTGGAAAACAGCGTATCACCATTGGACTGATGTGAGATTTGGCTGCTTCATACTTATACAGCTTTCTTTCCTGAGAGTTGAATCTGTTTGCATTTATCTGTTCCTACTTTCTCATCTTTTAAGAGAAGTCACTGCTGGGGTGTAATTACATCATATCTTTGAGCTATAGTCCTACGCTTAGTGTCATAAATGGCATTGTTATTTACCAAATACTATTTTTATTTAATAATATAATCTTCCAAGTTGTAGAATATTGAAGGTGCTTGAGGAGGCAGAGTAAAGAATTTTATGATTCTGTGATTTTTTTTTCTTCTTATCAGGATCATCTAAAGTTAAAGAAGATACAACATTTGCTCATGCACTTACTTCATCTGCCCCTGTAACAAAGAAGAAAATGTTGAAAAAGGGTCAGTAATCTAGTTTTCCACTCCCCCCACCCTGTTTTGTTCTAGTAAAGGAGCAGAGTCATTTATGATTGATTTAAAGCTTAACTTGGATGAATTTAAAGACCTAAATTTAGTATGATTATGATTTGCTTTTCATTTAAAAATGTCAATGAGCTTTATTATAATTTTATTATTCATAGAAAAACAACATTGCTTTATGAATATGATGGAAAAAGATAGAATTAAGGATAGATGTCTGAGAGAATTGTATCTCTGTGCCTTGGTTTCCATATACAGCACAAAATCTTATTTCTATGGCTTATTAAGCAGTCATGGGAATGCAACAAATAAAAGATTTTTGATGTTAAATGATACAAGAAGATAAAACAGTATGATGAAGTAAGAGCAGACTTGCATGTGGTCTGTATAAAAATTGTATATTTTACCCAGAGAGGCTAGGTCACAAGAAGGGCCTAAGGGTGGACACTTGGATTTCCCAGGGAAGGGGAAATGGAGGAGATCTGGTTCAACTAGGGGATAGGTGGGCATAGGAATTTGAGGGATTGAGTTGGGAGGTGGGCAAAGAGAAGAGTTTTGAGAACGATGACTGGAAATGGAGGCTTTATGGAGTCCAGTAGAAGCTTGATGCAAAAGAAACTTCCATGAGTCTACAAGAATGGCCCCAGTTAAGACTCCTGGCAGCAGTGGGTGCATAGCCTGAATGGGCCATCACCTGTGACAACCCAGGTTGTCATCACAGAGCCTTCATCCAGTGGCTGAGTGGGGCCGATTTATAGACATGAGTCAAACATTGGGCAGAATTTGGGAGTTCTGCTGAGGAGAGGGAGGAGGGATTATATGAGTTAGGGGGGAATCAGGGACATCAGAAACCCCCAAAAACAGCTAGTCTGGCTGATGGGAATTCACAGAATCTGAACAAACAACTAGGGGCCTGCATGGGACCAACACAGGCCCTCTGCATATATTTGACAGTTTTTAGCTTGGTTTGTTTGTCTGTTGGACGCCTGGCAATGGGAGCAGGGCTGTTGGTGCTTTTGGCTGGCTCTTGGGAACCTATTCTTCATGCTGAATTGCCTTGCCCAACCCGAATACATGAGCAGGTGCTTGTTCTTAGGGCAGCTTGATATGCCATGTTCTGCTGATGCTCAGGGGAGGCCTACTCCTTTCTGAGAGAATATGGAGGAGGGGTAGATCAAGGTGGGGGAACGTGACAGAAAGTAAGTGGGGGGAAGGGAGTGGGAGGAGAGGGAGGGGCGGTATGGTCTGGATGTAAAATAAATTAATTAATAAAAAAGGTATGTTTTGAACCTGTATGGCTTAGGGGTTAAGAATACATACTACTATTTTAGAGGGCCCAGATTCAGTTCCTAACACAAATGCTTTTAACCCCAACTCCATGGGATATAGCTACTTCTTTCTGACCTCTTCAGGCATACACACACACACACACACACTTAAACACATCATATGCACACATATAATGAAACTTAAATATAGAAAAAATTAATTAGGGAGAGAAAAATCCATCCTGAATGTAGGTAATTCCATTCCATGGGAAGGTTCTGGACTTAGTAAGGAGAAAGTGAGCTGCACATTTATTTTTCTGTACGTCCTGACTTTGGATGTTGCCGCCTCTATAATGAGCAATATATTCTCAGTTTTAAGGCCAAATAATTTCTTTATTTGCTTTTGTAAGGTATTTTGTCACAAAACTAAGAAAAAATTGGTACTGAGGAATGGTGTTATTGCTATGCTAACCCTGACTGATTTGTAAGCATTTAGCACTGGTTTATAGAATCAATGTGGGAGGTTTTGAAGCTACAGGCTATAGACATTCTTTAGACAAGAGACTAATGGGCCATTTTGGTGGGAATTTGGAAGATCAGAATTCTGAGAGACGTGAGAATAGTAGGGAATTGGCCCATCAGCTTTCAAAGGACTCTCTTGTGAACTGGGCTAGCGGCTTTTTGTGTTTTATTCTGGCAAAGAACCTGACTTCATTCCGTCTGTGACTTAACCGTTTGGATGTGGCAAAGCATTGATTGACTGATTATTTGGCACAGTAATTTTAAGAAAGGATAACATTTAGGCTGTGCAATGGTTACTGCTCACTGCTCTTACACAGGTTGACAGAGAAAACTGCAAGAGGGGCAAAAGGTAAGAAAAACGTGCAGCTTGGCAAGGAAGAAGTAAGAATTTATAGTTGAGGACAGCAGAGATAATGGGGAGAGGGACTATAATTGTTACAGAGATTAACAGCATTGAAGAAGAGTTTTGCAGCTGTACTGGGATACGAGAAGTACACAGAGGGCAAGACCTTACCCATTGAAGGCTTCAGTTTGTAACAGGGCAGGTGAATTTAAAAGGAGAGCGCCAAGACACAATGCCACTGAAGGTGTTCTCTGCTCCACAGCTGCCACCCAGAGTAGTGTTTGCTCAGGGTCAGCCTTAAAAGTACACAGAAGTGGTTACAGCTTTGATCCAAGGGATCAAGCTGCATTTTGAGCTGACTATGTAACTTGGAAGTGTTGTCCATATGATGCATAAGGAAAGGTTCGTGGAGGCATGGCAAGGTTTCAAAAGCTGCTGAGGCTGGAAAGTGTGTGGAAGGGCCAGACATCTGAGGGAGGTGTGGGAGGCCTGTGTGGCTTTGGGTAGAGTGGAAGTCCAAGATGTTGGAGATACTACAACCTTAGGATGTTGGAGAGAAAAGCTACAGGGGCTCACAGTTAAGAAATTTGCCTGAGTTTCATAAGAACCTTTGAACTATTGAACAGTCCTGGGGCTATCAAAAAGTCTGTGAGACATTTTAGAAATGAAATTAAATGAATTTTGAGATGAGCATGAGGGTTCAGGTGCCAGAGTGCAATGTTATGACTTAAAGTGATTTGCTTGTATGTCAAGTTGACAGAAGATGGAATTGTGATAGTTAATCTTTGTCAGTTTGCTTGGGGTTAGAATCACCATAGAAATACCCCTGGTTGTGTCTATGAAGGTGTTTCTGGGAAAGTTTAACTGAAGAGGGACAACTGCTCCAATTGTCCTGTTACAGTCCTCTGATTTTTCCTGATAAATAATTACTACTTAATTATTGGCTGGCTATCTATCTATCTATCTATCTATCTATCTATCTATCTATCATCTATCTATTGTGACAGGGTTTCTCTGTGTAGCTTTGGATGCCCTGGAACTCCCTCTGTAGACCCAGACTGCCCCCAAATCATAGAGATCTGTCTTTCACCCCCCCTTCACCCCATGCCTATTTTCTCTTTTTCAATTCTTCTGGATTTCTGTCTTCGTAGATGGTGATTGTTAGGACTGTATTTAGATGAATACCTCAGTATTTAAGAAAACAGGTAAAGTCTACCAACTCCTTGTTCTTTTAGGAGCATCTGTAATGGAGGGGTTAAAGAAATGTGACACTGGAGAGAGGTCAAGAGCAACACTGATCATCTGTCCACTTTCTGTGCTGAGCAATTGGATTGTAAGTCTAATGCCTGTCTGCTTAAAGTGGGATATCATATTTGTCCGTAAGAAAGGATTGTTAGGAATACATATGACCTTCATTTCACTTTCTGTCTGTTCAGTGAATTATGTTTGCTGAACTGAGTGCTTTGTCTTTGAAGGCTTGTATGATTAACTTACTAATTGTATGATTAACTTACTAATTGCTAATGTAGACTTTGATTTGCACTTCTGTTCCTTCCATTCTTGTTCCAAGAGGGACATGTTTATAATTTGATACTCTTATCATATTTAAAAGTTGAATTTGGAAATTGTGAGAATTACACTAATAGTAACCTGTAATATAAAACAGTGCATAGCATCACATGTGTTCCTGTCTGCTTGCTTTGGTTTGAATTTCTTTTCATAGATTTTTCTCACTTAATCCTCACCATTTTCAGTTTCCAGGTGACCAAATTGAGAGGTTAAATAACTTGACTAAGACCATCCAGTCAAGTACACCAGAGAGCTCAGTGTGGAAAACATTCTGACCCCAGAGTTTCTTGTTTTAAGGCTAAAAAGCCCAGAAAGGCATGTTTTTTCTCCCTGCAGATTGTTTTCTTTTTTAAGAACTTTTCATTGGAATAGGATCTCTGTATGTTACTCGTAAGAAGCATTCTGTTTTATGTCCTTGCTTCATTTTATAATGAAATAGGATTATTTTGGAAGCATGTGAACGTAAATTTCACTGAGTGTGAGCTTTCATTCTTGCTTTCTTCCAGGTCTCTGTCTCCTGTTCTGTCCTAGCTCAGGAAGAGGAAGTCCTGCTCTTCAGGAGACAATTGCTTTCATTTGCCTTATTCCATTTCCCCACTTGGTTTCTCTGTTCTTTTCCACCATCTCTTGGTTATTCACTCTAGGTTTTTCATGAAAAATATTCAGGTCTTCATTTGATATACTTCCTTTTGATTGTGTCTCACCTCGAAATTATTGCATTCCTTCCCTGTTATAGATAAGCTCTTGGAGGTTGATGTCTTCTTTATGCTCTTACTGCATTGGCTTCTGCTTCCAGTTGTCAGAATTGCATTGGGATATCCCAGGTGACTCATCATACCTACTCTCTTCTTTTTGATATTATATTTCTCTTTTCTTCTTAATATATATATTTTTTCTTGATTACTTCTTAGGCATTGACTTAATACATTTCTTCTTCACATTATGTTCTGTTCCCCTCTACAGCATGACATCATTTTGTTTTGGTTTATTTATTTTAAAATAAATTATTCCTTCTCTTGACTTTTGATGTGGGATTCCCCTCTGTATGTTGTGAATACCATTGGTTAATAAAAAAACTGGCTTGGCCTGGTAGGGTAGAGTAGAGGTAGGTGGGGATAGCTAAATTGCATGCTGGGAGAAAGAAGGTGTAGTTGGAGAAGCTATGGAGCCACCTCTAGAGACAGATATGCTGAAACTTTACCAGTAGGCCACGAGCCTCATGGTAAAATATAAAGTAATGGAGATGGGTTAATTCTAGATGTAAGAGCTAGCTAGCAATACACTTAAGTAATTGATCAAACAGTGATTTAATTAATACAGTTCTTGTGTGATTATTTTTGGAGTCTGAGCAGCTGGGAAACAAACAACTTTTGTATCATTTTTCTCTTGAGGCATATGGGTTGTGGTATTTTTTCCCCCTCTCTATTTTTGTTCCAGTAAAGCTATGGTCTTTTTTTAGATGTGTGGTTTGCCTTGGCAAGAGCTATAAGTGCATGCTTAAATGGCAGGTTCAAGGTGAAACTTAGAAATACTGATAGAGACTCATAGTTCCTAAAGGTTTGGTATCTACAGTTGTATTTTTAAAATGGTCAGCTAAGGGGCATAGATCTGTGGTAGACTGCTTGCCCAGCATGGCCAGTACCACATGCAAAACAAGATGAAAATAGATTACTAGATAAATATAAAATTGTAATCATATTTCATATTTAAAAAACCTGGCAGATAAAACCATTCAAAAATTTAAAGCAATAATGGACATTTATTATTATATATTATAATAATCATAGAGAACAGTGTTTGTCAACTTTCCTAATGCTGTGACTCTTTAATCTAGTTCCTCATGTTGTGGTGACCTTCAATCACAAAATTATTTTTGCTGATACTTTATAACTGTAATTTTGATATTGTTATGAATCATAATATATTTTCCAATGGTCTTAAGTGACCGCTGAGAAAGGGACATTCAATTCCCGAAGGGGTCATAACCCCCAAATTGAGAGCTTTTTTTCATTCTGAGTTTTATTCTTTTCACAAATATATATTGTTCCCTTTCATTGCCACCCATTTTTTTTCAGATTTTTTAATTAAAAATTCATTCTCAAATTGAATCTCTTCTCTACCAGGTTACAAAAAATATTCTCTGTGTTTTTATCTTTATTTTAGATTCTCTCTAAGTTTTAATATTTTGACTTTTCTATTTTATGTGTATTTCTTTAGTTTATTTAATCTGTTGTTGAGTCTCATTTGCTATGGAAACTCCCTTTGGGGAAACCTTTGACCCCCATTGTTGTATGTTCTTGAGCTCCGATTTTCCCCCTCATGCTGGAGAGTACTTTGCACTTTTTGAAATGTCACCTGGAGTCACTGTGTATAGAAAGTATTGTGAATTTCAGGTGAGCACTTCACCCCATTTCCTTCTTGAGCTCTGCTATTCTTTGTCTTCTGGGTCTCTTCCTTTGTTCTTCTGACTTTCTGACTGCCATTGCTTGGCTTCTGACTCATATACAGTTAGTTGTTCTTAGGAGCTCTAGACTTCTGAGGCAAAGCTGGTTTACATAGCGATCCTAAAAGGAAAAAATAATTATAAAAAAACTTAACGAGATTCTTACTTACTCAGGAAGACCCAGGAATTACCAGAGTGCAGTCATCTCTGCTTTACTCTTTCTCCACTGGAGTACTATAACCTTAACTTAGAAAAAGCGTAGTGTGGTTCTTTATTGTTGGCAGGCTCAGTCCCCAAGCACTTTCTTTTTCTTATTGTACACGTTCTCTTTAAAGATACTTAAAGACATCTTCCTAGGTACATTTGTTATCTAACTGTAACTTTAAAATACATGTACACATCTCTTACTTGCACCTGTACGCCAATGTTTATGTTCTGTGCTATACTATATGTCGTCTATAGTAGTGGTTTTCAACCTGTGGATTGAGACCCCTTTGGCAAACCTGTCTCCAAAAATATTTATACTATGATTTATAACAGCATCAAAATTACAGTTATGAAGTAGCAACAAAAGTAATTTTATGATTGGGGGTCATCATAGCACGAGGGACTATGTTAAAGGGCCACAGCATTAGTAAGGCTAAGAACCACTGGTCTATAGTGACCAAATATCACAAATAATTTTCTTTCTCACTTCTTTTCTCTTTGAGTAAATTTTTCTATACTTTTATCACTCAGTTCTTCCAAGGCAGTCATCTGAAGTATAAGGACAACACTATCTTCTCTCTTCCTCATGGCCCATACTTAAGTCCTATGTCCTAAGCTTCTTTCCTGTTAACTTCTTTCTCTCATACATGTCCTTTTCATTATTTTCAAGCTTTTGCTATTCTGGTCTTAGAGCCTCAATTCTCACCCTTAAGAATTTGCTAGCTTTATCTCCATAGCATCTTCTTGCTAGTCCTGTCTTGTCTTTTCCTTCCCTCCCTCCCTGCCCGCTTCCTTGCTTCCTTCCTTTCTTTCTTTTCTTGCTCAAAATCATCTAAGTCTGTTGTTTACAAAGAAAGTTGTTGGACTTTTAACTTAAGATTAAAGACATGCTAGATATACCTTTCATCCAAGTGTTTGAGAGACAGAGGCAGGAAGATGATGAGTTTGAGACTAGCCTGGGCTACATAGTAATGAAATGGCTATTATAAACAGACTATATAAACATTGGTAGGAAAGGCTAATTTGTGTAACATGTTTTATATGTTTATCAGTTTTACGATTTGACACAATATGATACTTATTAATGTAGTTATCATTACACTTTAATTTTATATTGTAGAAAGACTGATTTACGATATTCCTGCTGGCACAGCTCTTTGATATACATGCTTGTTGTCTGAGGTTTCTGTCCTGCCTGGTTCCCGCAGTTGTTAAGTCCCAAAGAAATCACACAGAAGTCTACATTAGTTATAAATTGATTGGCCTAGTAGCTCATGCTTCTTATTAACTATTATAACTTATATTAGCCCATTATTCTTGTCTATGTTAACCATGGGGCTTGATACCTTTTTCGGTGAGGCAGTCACGTCTTGCTTGCTCTGTGTCTGTATCATGCCTCACCTCTAGTTCCTGCCTGGTTGCCCCACCTATACTACCTGCCTGGCTACTGGCCAATCAGCGTTTATTAAAAATAATAAGTGACAGGATAAAAGGCCATGCTAAACTTGATACTCATCTGCTTCTTACTAAAATATCTGTAATTTTCTTTTAGGACCAATTTGGACAACATATAAAATCAGAAGTGCACTTGAATTTTTATGTTTATTATGGTCCTGACCGTATTAGAGATCCCAACTTGCTTTCAAAACAGGATATTGTTTTGACTACTTATAATATTTTAACTCATGATTATGGAGTAAGTATGCAAATAAGTAAAGCTTTAAAAATATTTATTATGTTTTAAAAATTGTGTGTGTCTGTGTGATAGTGAATGTTGGTGACTTTAGAGACCCCTGTAGCTGGCATTACAGATATTTCTGAGTTACCCGATGTGGATGTTAGGAACAGAACTGGGGCCTTCTGCAGGAGCAGCAAATGCTTCTAACCACTAGCTTTACACTTACTTGAGATACTAATTTGGAAATGTACGTCATTTAGAACATTTTAGGTTAAAATTTTAAATTTGGGTTATATCTAGTGTTTTATCACAATTTATATGCAAAAAGAACATTTTTTTGTTTTTTTAATGATGAGTATTATCAGTTTGAAAATAAACCTTTTGTTTATAGTAGTCACTAATTAAGTTCTCAACTCTTTTCATGAGCCTTTTATTTTCCTTAACAATTCCAGTTATTTTGGACATACTATATAGTTAAAATCTTAATCTTCTAGAAAGAACATTGCCATTTGTATAAAAGAAAGTAAGGTTGTGACTGAAAAATTCCTTACAAGGGATGTTTTTTCTATCACTGAATCTGGTGCAAAATTGTTCTCTGTATTATACATGACTCAGTAGATCTCTGAGCTTGGAGTAGGAGCTAGCTGCTTCTTAGTGGTACTTTGAGAAACATATTTAGTATCTTGTTCTTTGGTGCTCTTAGCTGTAAAATGAATGTAATATTCTAGACTTGTGGGCTTCACTAATTGTCTTTGGAGTACTTAACAGTACCAGGTACCTAGTAAGAATTGATAGGAGAGATCAGAACTACTATTATTTAACAAACATTTAAGTATTATATTATTTTCCTGTGCTTTTTGAAACCTCTATGTAATATGAAACCTCAATTTCAGACTAAAGATGATAGTCCATTACATAGCATAAAATGGCTAAGAGTAATTCTGGATGAAGGACATGCCATACGAAATCCAAATGCTCAACAAACAAAAGCTGTACTTGACTTAGAGGCAGAAAGAAGATGGGTATTGACAGGTAATTACAGCATTCCTTTTTTTCTTTTCTATAAATTTTATGTGTCTGTATATTCATATGTATGTGGGCATATATATGTGTGCAAGTGCACATCCAACTGTTGTGCCTTCCTGTGGAAGCTTGATGGCTGTATCAGGTACCTTTTGGATCATTCTTTACCTATTCATTGAGGCATCGTCTCTTAGTTGAATCCAGAGCTCACAATACTACTAGGCTAGCTATCCAGCCAACTTTGGGAATTCTATATTCATCCCAAGCACGGGCATTACAGGCAGGCTGCTATACACAACAGAATTTAAGTGGATTCTGTGGGTCCAACTCCAGTTCCATCATAGTTGTGTCCAAGCACTTTATCTGCTGAGCTACCTCGCAGCTCTCATTTTTTTATTAGTTTTTAAATTGATGCCTAAATATATTCATAACCTTCATTCATATCATTCATAATGATAGAACATTGTATCATATTCAAATTAGGGTAATTATATGTTTCCTCTTTTTTGTAGTAAAAGCATTCAAAATAATTTCTTCTAGCTTTTAGAATATGTATAGTGCATTATTTGTTTTCCTATTGTTAATCTTACTACTGTGCAATGTAACAGCAGAACTTATTTTTTCAGCCATACTGTACCTTAATAATCATTGAGGAATCTTTTCCCTTCTTTCTCCTCCACTTTTCTTCTCAGCCTCTGGTAACCACTATTTTCTTTCAGTCTCTAAGAGGTCAATTTCATGTTTTGTTTTTTTAAATTATGTGTGTGTGTTTAGATTAGAGGACATTGTAGATTAGGTGACAGCCTTGGTTGTTAGTCTTCACTCGTCTCTTTGCTTAAGATAGACCTTACAGCATATGCCAGATTAGCTGGTCTGTGAGCATCCAGGAATTCTCCTGTCTCTGCCTCTCACCTTGTTGTTGGATCCCTGAGTTCACAAATGCACACTGCTATGTCTACCTTTATATGGTTCCTGGGCATTTGAGTGAATTAAAAGATTGGATAAAAAATTGACATCCGAACTTTGCTACTGTTTTTGTATACCAGTGATGACCATAGTTTTACAAAATAGTGCTACTAAAGATTATTTGCTGTTGCTCGAAGATAATCTTAATTGTCAACAATTTCCTGAAATGCATTGCTTTACTGTGTCTGATTTTTCCAGTACTATTTTGATGGTCAAATTAAGGATTTACATAAAGAGACAGACAAAAATCTATCAAGTAACAAACCTTTGTATCATGGATAATCCCCTTTTCTTGTTCCTCTCTTAGCTATTCTTACAATTAATTATCTTAGCATGGAGGCAATGCATTCTACCATGGCGTCCATTATGACCACTATTTATTTCTTTAAATAAATACTTAAATTTATTTAAATGAGGAGATAAAGGGTGCATGAATGCTCATGCATAAGCATTGGAGAAACTAGGGCTGTTAATCAGCAGAGTGGTCTCCTCAATGGAAGAAGTAAATACCTGTTTTCTACCAAAATGGTTGGGAGTGGATGCTGTAAATAACCTGGTGATGTTTTCTGTAGATGCAGAGCTCACCTAAATCCCTCAGAATGTTTATTCTAGACTCTCCCTCTAGCCCTTTCTCTTTAGCTTTGTTTCTCAGCCAATAAGAACCATCCTTACTGGAGATGTCACATGTGGTTTATAGCCTGCTGACCTCCATCTCTTTCAGAGACCACACCAGATTCTAGGTCCTTAAAGCTATAGAACCCATCTTCATGGTCACATGTATTTTGTAAAAGAGTTTCAATATACTCACTCTTTAAATTTCATTGTGCACGTGTGCGTGGGATGGTTGTTATCGGGAAACTGTTTTCCAAAATTATACTGTATTTAAATTTGTCTAAAATAAATCACCTGGTATCAGACTCCAGAAGTTTTGACCCACACTGGCTAAGTCTTCCTGACCCAAGTTTCATTCTTACCTCACCCTGGTTGTTTTCCTGCTGGCCATGGTGCTTGCAGGGACCAACATACACCAACACCAAATTATGTGAAAAAGAAATCAAGACTGAGGAGATGGCTCAGTGGTCCGACATTACCCATGCGATGACCTGAGTTAGTGTGTGCCTAGTACGGTGATCAATTTCAACTACCTTTTGTCTCATTGGGCCAGGGGAATATTCTGCCTTAAGAGCTATAACTCAGTAGTAGAGTTCTTACTTAGCATGTGTGATCCCTAGCACCACAAAATCAATTTAATTTTTAAGAGTTATAATGGTTTCCTGTTTTGTTTCTTTTCTTTTTTTTTTTAGGTACTCCTATCCAAAATTCTTTAAAGGACTTGTGGTCTCTACTGTCCTTTTTAAAGCTTAAACCATTTATTGATAGAGAATGGTGGCATAGAACAATACAACGTCCTGTTACAACAGGAGATGAGGGAGGACTTAGGTAAGTAAGTTTGTGACAGCAGATATAGTAGCTACAGTTATTGTAAACAGTTGCCACTTCTATTCATTTTCATCTCACGTTTAACTTTAGTCTCCAAAACACATGGGTATCAGTGTCACTGCATCTTAAAACCTAGTGACTTGTGTCTGGAGACAAGATTTCTGTTCTGTGCACTTTCCCTCTTAGCAAAACTGAAAGGAAAGGCAGACCTTTATATTGTCATTATTTGTGATTGTTACCCCAAAGCCATCACAAAAACATTTAACAGTGATAGAAAAAGTTATATCCTTTGATGGTTCACTATGCATTATATTTTGATAACTTACAGTACTTTTTTAGAGGTATTTTGTTTGGTATATAGTATATAGCATACAGTGATCTCAAGATTTAATGAACATTGCATATGGTTGATTTGAGTGGGTACAGATAAAGGCAGAGAAAGGAACGAAAACACTGGTGGGTATTTTCCCACATGCTTGGCTGCCCTGTTCCTAGAGCGGTGATCGTCTCAACAGGATCTGGTACTCAATGGTGGGTCATAGTGTCAGAATAAAGGGTGGTGGTCAGCATGGAAACAGAAATAGAGACGTAATAGAGAATTATGAAAAATACCAGAGTACATTCTCTAAGTAAAGATACATGATGTATATGTATTGAATATTTATTTCTGTTTTGGGCAGATGCCATCAAAATATTTCTGATTATGAGCTAAAGTGAAAATGATTCAAAATTGAAACTCTTATCTTAGGTGTCAAAACTGGTCACACAATTCCTGAGAACTATTTATGCTCTACTTAGACTCAGTTAAAAATTGTGTATTTTACTATTATGAGAAATATTCTAACTGGTCTCTTTTTTTAAATTTTGACACTGAGGAAAAAATAGCAAGATTACAGAGCCAAGAAAGACATTTCCCCCTCTTCTGAGTTTGCATACTTTTATTTTTCAGTTATTCACTAACTTATGAAAACTTCATTTGGATTTCATTTTATACCTGTACTTTTTATATTACATTAGATGGGATTTTTTTAACTCATGAGAACAGGATTACTTTAGATAACAGACGATAGGATCTTACTTACTACTATCTGCACTGTATTTAATAAAGTACCTTTGACTTCATAGCAGCTGCTTAGTAAGAATGCACATATTGTACATTAAGTGGTATAATTGATAAGAAAGTAGTTGAGGAATAAGAGTGTCAATGATGACAACAAAGCCAGAAAAGCTTTGGAAAGTAAGTACATAATATAGGATTATTAGTATTGTCTTGGTACAATTTCAGTACTTTTTTGTAATAATTTTTTATTTGTAAAATATTCTTCTGAATAAAAGCCTAAATAAAGGATTAAAAATGTTTAATTTATTAAAATTATAAATCAATAAATTCTTGTTTTCTGTTCTTTTTTGCTCAACTATTTAGAGATAGTTATATAATTACTTTTTTTTTCTTTTACTTTGACTAGACGTTTACAGTCCTTAATTAAAAGTATTACACTTCGAAGAACAAAGACAAGCAAAATTAAGGGGAAACCTGTTTTGGAATTACCAGAAAGGAAAGTATTTATTCAGCATGTTTCACTTTCAGAAGAAGAGAGAAAGATTTATCAGTCTGTTAAAAATGAAGGCAAAGCTATCATTGGAAGGTATGGAAACAGATTGCCAGGTTAAATTTTTTTTTTTCTTTCTTTCTTTCTTAGCTTCTTACTAGCTGAATTACAGTTTTTTAGACATTTTAGCTATAAAATCTGAAATGTATTGAAAACTATTTTCCTCCTGTGACTTATGCTTTAAATTTTTCTTTTAAAAAGTAGTTGAAATTAATGAAACAATAGTATAATTCATCATGTGATTAATTTCTTGGGCTTGCAAAAAACTAAAGCTTATATTGATTTCTGTCAGTGATGAAGAGCTTGCTCACTTCCATTTCTGAGTGTCATGGGAGTAGACACAGGGCAGCATGCTTCCAGCTCAGTTCCATACTTGTTTTCTCTTTGATAAACTCCTGAACCACAACTTACTTTGGGAAGTTTTTTTTGTTTGTTTTATTTTGTTTTGCTTTTTTGTTTTTGGGTTTTTTGTTTTGTTTTTGTTTTTCTCTCTCTTTATCTGTGATCGATCTATCTATCTCTATCTATCATCTATCTATCTATCTATCTATCTATCTATCTCTATCAACTTTTCAGTGTAGTCTTCCCTTACTGGCCTATAAAAACAACTTTAGTACTTCTTGATTCCTTCCCTCTGCCTCCCTCACCCCCTATAAAACTTAATATTTTAAATTGCTTTATTTTATCAAAAATATAAACTCATTTTAATCAATTTTATTTCTGTATGTTAGCTACTTTTGCTTGAAATAGTTTGAGAAGTTTCACTTAGCACTGCTAAGTGATTGGAACTTGGAAATCTCCTTAATTTTTTTTCTTTAGCTTTCTTATTAAATCTGCTTTGTGCCTACCTCATTAAAGTGCCTCTGTTATGAAGAGTCCCCAGTTTACAGTCCTCTTTTGTCTTTGTCTAATTCTGATCTCTGTGGGCAATTGACACCAGATAATGATGTTTCTTGAACTAGAATTATTCACCTTCTGATTCCTAATTCTTTGTGTCATCATTTCCTATTCTTAGATTTCTACACTTTGTTGTAAGTCACGCTAACATATCACCCATGTTTATAATACTACACAGAATACCAACCTACACTAAGAAAACCTTACTTTTTCAAAGATGGTTGCAAATTCAAATTGTTTAAATTTTTAGCATCTTACTCTGTAGATACCCTAGCCTCACAGTGCACTGGTTACATTTTTTAGTTTCTTCTCAAAGATTTGGGATCGGCATTAGGAAGAGAAATTAATACTGAAAATTGGTGCCTATAAGTCAGATCGTTGCTTTGATAAACCTGGCCAAGTGGTTTGTAAACCTTTGAATTTGTGAAAGGAATGTTAAGGAATTTGAAACTTTGGGCTAGAAAAGCTAGAATTGTTCTAAGCAGAGTGTAATGAATGAGCCATTCTGGTGGGAATTTGAATAAGAATGCTGAAAGAAATGTGAAGAGTGGAGGCTAAGCTCATGAAATCTCAGAAAGGAGTAAGTCACTTGGTGTGCTGTTCTTTTCTTTTGCAGCAGTAAAATCTAGTAACAAAAGCAATTTAGCGGAAAGGATTACTTTGGCTCACAGTTGGAAGTTACTGTCTACCACTACAGGGGAAGTCACAGTGGCAACAACTCTGGGCAACTTGTCACGTTGTTGCGTCTGCATGCATAACCAATATTTGCATTCCATTTTCTTTTCTTTCTTAAATCCAATTCAGGATCTCAGTCTGTGGATTAGTGTTTACCCACACTGAGTTCATCTTCCACACAGTTTAACCTAATCAATATAATCTCGCATACACATACCCCTATAAGCCCAGATGAAGATGTGGATTTAGTGTTTGCCCTGCTGGGTTTTTCCTTTCTATGCTACATTCCTCCCTTGGTAATGGACCTCTTTAGTCTGTGCCATTATATGCTTGAAGTATGTAACTCTTTTTTTTCATATTATAGAGGCTCATGGTTAAATTATTGCTTAGGATTGAGAAGAGACTGTGTACTTAAACTTTCAAAGTGTTAGAACTGCTAAGACTGGAGACTTTTGAAGTTGGAGTGAATTCATTTTTTTCAAGATGTAGCTTTAATAAAACTACTTTTTTATTTGTTTTATTATAATGTAATTTGATCATTTCGCCTTCCTTTTACTCCCTCCAAAGCTCCAAGATAATCCTCCTTCTCCCCACCCTTCGCCCATCCACTCAGATAGGGTAAAGCTTCCCATGGGGAGTGAACAAAGTCTGGCATATCACTTTGAGACAGGACCAAGGCCCTCCCCACTATATTTAGGCTGAGCAAGATAGCCCTTCAAAAAGAATGAGCTACAAAAAGCTAGTTCACGCACTAGGCATAAATCCTGGTGCCCTGCCAGTGGCCTCACAGACTGACCCCGCCATGCCACTGTCACCCACATTCAGAGGGCCCAGTTTGGTCCTATGTTGTTTGCTCCTCTGTGCGTCCAGAGTCAGTGAGCTCCCATTAGCTCGTGTAAATGGTTTCACTGGGTAGTCCCATCACGCTTCTGACCCCTTTGCTCATATTATTGCTCCTCCCTCTCTTTGACTAGACTGTGGGAGCACAGCCCCAGATGTCTACATCTACTTTGATGACAATTAAAATAGTTATCAATTTGATTATAGGGGAAAGCCAGTTCAGGCAACCTCTCCACTATTGCTTAGGGTCTTAGCTGGGGTCATCCTTGTAGGTTCCTAGGAATTTCTCTAGTGCCAAGTTTTTTGTTAACCCCATAATGACTCACTCAAGATATCTCTTTCCTTCCTCTCTCTCTCTGTTCTTTCCTCATCTCGCCATCCCTTTCCCTCCTGTTCTTCTCCCCCTACCCTTTTCTTCTCCTGCTGCCCTTCCACCCTCCCTGTTCCCCCACCCCCACACTTCCAATTTTCTCAGGAGATTTTTACCTATTTCCCCTTCCCAGGAGGATCCATGTATGTTTCTTTTAGGGTTCTCCTTGTTACCTAGTTTCTCTGGGGTTGTGACTATAGGCTGGTTATCCTTTGATTTACATCTATCTAATATCCACTTATGAGTGAGTACATACCATGTTTATCTTTCTGGGTCTGGATTACCTTACTCGGGATGTTTTTTTTTTTTTGGTTCCATCCATTTGCATGCAGATTTCAAGACATCGTGTTTTTTAGCCATTGAGTAGTATTTCATTGTGAAACTGTCACACTTTCTTCATCCATTCTTCAATTGAAGGCATCTAGGTTGTTTTCAGATTCTGGCTATTACAAATAATGCTGCTGTGGAACATAGTTGAACAAAATGTCATTGTAGTATTATTGCTCATCCTTTGGTTATATGCCCAAGTGTGGTATTGCTAGGTCTTGAGGTAGGTTGATTCCCAATTTTCTGAGAAATCACCATATTGATTTCCAAAGTGGCTGTACAATTTTGCACTCCTACCAGTGGTGGAAGAGTATTCCCCTTACTCTGCATACTCTCCATCATAAGATATCATTGGTGTTTTTGAACTTAGTCATTCTGACTAGTGTAAGATGGTATCTCAGAATTGTTTTGATTTGCATTTCCCTGATGGCTAAGTATGTTGAGTAGTTCCTCAATTGTCTTTCAGCCATTTGAGATTCTTCTGTTGCAAATTCTGTTTAGACATATACCCTATTATTTAGTTGGATTATTTGGAATTTTGCTGTCTAATATCTTGAATTCTTTATATATTTTGGAGATCAGTCCTCTGTCTGATGTGGGGTTGGTAAAGATCTTTTCCCATTCAGTAGGCTGTCATTTCGTCTTATTGGCTGTGTCCTTTGCTTTACAGAGGTTTCTCAGTTTCAGAAGGTGCCATTTATTTATTGTTGCTTTCAGTGTCTGTGCTACTGGTATTGTATTATATGTAGGAAGTGGTCTCCTGTGCCCATGTGTTCAAGTCTACTTATCATTTTCTTTTCTATGGGATTCAGTGTGACTGGTATTTATCTTGCTGTCTTTGATCCATTTGGACTTGAGTTTTGTGCATAAGGATAGATATGGATCTATTTGCATTCTTCTACCTATTGCCAGTTATGCCAGTACCATTTGTTGAGGATGTTTTCTTTTTTCCATTGTATAATTTTAGGCTCTTTGTCAAAAATCAGGTGTTCATTTGTGATTGGTTTAATATCATGGTCTTCCATTTGATTCCATTGGTCCACTTGTCTGTTTTTATGCCAATTACCAAGCTGTTTTCATTACCGTAACTCTATAATAGAGCTTGATGTCAGGAATGGTTATGCCTCCAGAAGTTACTTTATTGTACAGAAATATTTTGGCTGTCCTGGTTTTTTTGCTTTTTGTATATGAAGTTGAATATTGCTCTGTCAAGGTCTGTGAGGTGCTGGGAATTTTGATAGGGATTGCACTGAATCTATAGATAGCTTTTGGTAGGATTGCCATTTTTATTATGTTGATCCTACCCATACAAGAGCATGGAAAATCTTTCCATTTTCTGATATCTTCTTCAGTTTCCTTCTTCAAAGACAAAGTTCTTATAAAACAGTTCTCTCACATCTTTGGTTGGTGTTACCCCAAGATATTTTATGTTATTTGTAGCTAATGTAAATGGTAATGTTTCTCAAGTTTTGTTCTTGGCCTTCTTATCTATTGTATGTAGGAGGGCTCCATTCTATTTATTTATTTATTTGAATGGATCTTGTATCCTGCCACATTGCTGAAAGTGTTTATCAGCAGTAGAAGTTCCCTCATGGAATTTTGGGATCACTTATGTATATTATCATATCATCTGCAAATAGTGAAAGTTTGACTTCTTCCTTTTCATTTTGTATTGCCTTTATCTCCTTTTGTTGTCTTATTGCTCAGCTAGAACTTCAAGTACTATATTGAGAAGATACTGAGAAAGTGAACAGCCTTGTCTTGTTCCTGAGTTTAGTAGAATTGCTTGAGTTTCTATCCATTTAATTTGATGTTGACTGTCAGCTTGTTGCATATTGCTTTTATAATGTTTAGATACATTCCTTTATCCCTGGTCTCTCCAAGACCTTTATCATGAAGGGGCATTGGATTTTACCTAATGCTTTTT